GCGGCGAATCGGGAGAAGTACGCGAGGAAACAGTTCAGTCTTGGAAAGAGCGGTTACCAGTAATACTCGCAGGTTACAGCCCCCAAGACATTCTTAATATGGATGAGACAGGAAAATTCTACCGTGCGTTACCAAACAAGTCCCTTTCTGAAGCAGCAAAGCATTGCAGAGGTGGCAAACAATCCAAGGAGAGGATTACATGTGCGTTCTTTGTTAATGCCGCAGGGGGTAAAGAGAAACCGATAGTAATCGGAAAGTCAGCAAATCCCCGTTGTTTTAAAGGCATCAAAGATCTTTCGAACCTTCCATGCACTTACTTTCATCAAAAAAAGGCTTGGATGGATTTCGATATCCTGGACCAAGTCTTGACAAAACTAAATCGGAGGTGTCAGCGTGAAAGTCGAAGTGTTCTCTTGCTACTCGATAATGCACCTTGTCACCCATACGACATGAAAGGCAAATATCCGAACATTAAATGTGTAGTTTTTCCTCCGAATTGCACCTCGAGGCTCCAGCCTTTAGATTTGGGGATTATTCAGTCCTTCAAGCTAAAGTACGCAAAGCTGATGCTGACTCACGTGGTCAGCCTAATTGATGACTGTGAAACAGCTGGAGATGTGTGCAAGTCTGTGAACGTCCTACAGGCCATCAGATGGATAGGACAGGCCTGGGAAGCCGTAGAGCCATCCACCATAATCAAGTGTTCCGCTAATGCGGGAGTACTAGACAAAGAGAGAAATGTAGTTGAAGCTGTAGAACCCCCAAATGACGAGGACCCATTTGCAGACCTGGAAGATGAGGTTTCTCAGGTTGAGATGTTACTGAACGAGTCATGTGGTGACACTGCTGTGTCTGTACACGAAGCTATTGCAAACGAAAGTCTTCTTCCAGTCTGTCAAGAGTTAGGTGAAAACTGGGAGGAAAGGTTCCTATCAAGTTTGTCATCAGACTCAAATGGTGACAATGAAGGTGCAAACATTGACGATGAAGAGATCTCGGAGCTGGATGATCTTCAAGCGCCAAAGCCGCTAAAAGTGAAGTCATATAGTGAGGCTTGCTCAGAACTTAACCATGTTTCTGATTTTTTTACTGCACAAGGTGAATCAAATTTGGCTGATGAGTTATGCAAGATTATTTCAAAAGCTCAGTCGTTGTATGTCAAAAAACGACCAGCGAATGCTGTTCAGAAGAACATTACAGACTTCTTTAACGCAAAATGAATCAATAACAAAGAACTTTCATTAAATACTCTACTGTATGTTAGTGTTCGCTACACTTGTTACTGTTCGGAAACTGTATTATAGTTTGCCATATATTTTTGGAATTGTACAGCTTGTATTGTAATGATTTGCACTGTCCATTAAACAATTCAAATGCACCTCAAAGCCTTTTTTGGGCCAATTTTGACTTAAAGAACACTTAATACCATCAATGGAGCCTTTAAAGTGACGTAATATTCATGACCTCTATACAACGGACACCTCTCTAATACGGACACTTTGCTCTGTCCCTTCGGTGTCCGTATTAGGGAGGTTCGACTGTATCCCTTATCCACGTTCTCTCCATACAAATATTATCAAAAATAACCGAAAAACAATACTAAACGGAAGTTTCGTCTTTAAAAGTGAAAGCCTCTCATTATTCAAGGGTATTGTCTCCAAGTTTCATTTTCACATGAACAGCAGTAACTAACAATGCATTTAAAATATGCAAAAATGCCACCTATTGACCACCCCAGAAAATACCGTAACATACCATAATGCTCTGTTTGTCACCCCAAAATTTTGCATAAGCATTGTTTTCAGTTTCTCTTGGGGGCCATTTTACCTCCCAAGAGAAACTGAAGACAATGCTTATGCAAAATTTTGGGGTGACAAACAAAGAGCATTATGGTATTTTATGGTTTTTCCGGAGTGGTCAATTGTCGTGCACGAAAATATGAAACGTGGAGACAATACCGCTGAATAATGAGAGGCTCTCACTTGTAAACACAAAATTTCTGACAAAACAGCGAATTGTAGCCCTTATTTTACTGCCTTACAATATATCAATAACCTTGAAACAAAAGGTTTTAGAAAAGAACAGTTAATCTCAAGAATCTTAATTTTTTTAAAAAATCTTTTTATCGAGCGGTTTAAAAATTATTCGCTAATTTGCTAAAGTAGACCAAAATGTATACAAAACCGCTAACAAGAGCGTCTCGACACTAACTTTCAGCAATCGGCTGGAGCTATCTCCATGATCTTTCACACACATTTTTTAAAAAGATTGAAACTACTATGAGGTGAAATTGCATGTCAAACGCGCTTCGTTTTCCACAGATAACGGCCGAACATTAAGACTGTCAATTTTTTTTACCGCATTTATAACCATAAAAACTTCATCCAAAAATACCTCGATAACGCTCTTTACACTGCTGCAAGTTAAACAGGTAATAGCGTCATTTCGTTGCTATAACAACTTCGACTTCATTGCAACCCTAATCATAACAAATTTTCATCCTTATCTAATACAACTGTGGTGGCAATTTTTCCAAATCTCTGTTTACGGCGACCTAGTTTATGCTTAAAACTGGGAGGTATTGACGCTGAAAAACTGTATCGAGCCACCTTAAGTAACAGCGCTATAAAGATACGGAGCGTTTTCACTCACGCAACCAACAGCTGCTATACAAATTTATAAGAACAAGAGAAAGTTTTTACATAAGAGAAAAAGGTTTAACTCCCACAAGACTGGTTTGGGACACCAACATGGCCGCCGTTTCATTGTTTGGGAACACCAAAATGGTGGAAATGACGTCACGAGAAAACGCTCTATACATAAACTTAAATTAGGGCCATTCAGCTACCACGATATAGGCGTTTGATGTTAAAAAAAAATTCTAACATGACTCCCAGGCTTTCTGCCCCTCAAGCCTAGAATTCATGTTACAATTTTGATATATCGAGCGTTGGCTATTGAATTACAGGCCAGTAATCGGGCCTCGTGGTTTAAGCGAGGAACATAATGTAACAGAACATAAGACTTTATTCACACCTTTCACACATTATTTTTCTGGTACATTTTTCCTGTTACAGTTCCTATCTATTTATTAATGGTTAGAATATAATTTTTGGTGTCTAGAGGTCAAGCAAACTATGTTATTTGTTTTCTCCTTTCGAATCTTCCTGGAGAAGTTCCGAAATAATACGGCTGCCCTTGCCACTATAGCCGTATTTCTTCTCATTAGTACCAATCGAGTTAAACTCCTCGGCCTCGATTGTAAATACCCAGCTGGCCGGTTTGTCTGTGGCCATTTGGGATTCTTACTCGTGACGTTATTTTCAATTATCTGTTTCTCTCCTGGGTCACAAAACACACTAAGGGTCGCCAGTGACTTCCGGGATTGTGTTACCTGACTGGCAGAGGCCAAGGCAAGTCATCTACTAACTAAATCATAAACTTAGACAAGGATGCAACTGTTGTGGGAAAGCAAATTATAGCGGTTCTAGCTCTACTGGTCCGATGCGGCCAATATTTTCCCTGTGTTCACACGGAACTGACGAACCACGTTGAAAATTATCTTTCCTCAATGGCTTTACTGACAATTTGCCCATGCGGAGAGCGCTAATTAAGCAAATTCAAAAAGGATTCTCCCCAGCTAAATTACCACGCATTTATGCAGCTACGCCTTTGCCGTACAAAAATTTAGACGGTTAAGGTGTTCACACCGCCCCGGCCAAATTTTTGACCGTACCGGCTAGAAATTTGACCTTGATTTTGGCGTTTAACTTTCTTAAGCTTTGGGTGGTTACGTATTAAGAGCGGGTGCAAGTGGTTACGCATTAAGAGCGGGTGGTTACGCATTTTCCACCGGTCGAAAATTCGTCCGTTACCATATGAACGAAGCTCAAGATCCCTTCTACACAGGTCTGCCTATCGTTTACACGGGACCCGAGGGACCGCGCAAGTTTTTAGACGGCAAGCAGTACTGCAATCTGTAACAGAATTTGCACGGTTCCGTGTAAACGGGTTGCACAGGTAAAAAAATTCTTCCGTTCAAAAATGTGCCTGTAACTAACCGCGTGCGTGCTGGACGTGCTATAATTCATGGATATCGGTTGGCATAACACGTCAGATGCACTGCAAATGCACCGTTGGCACTAATGTGCCGGTCCAGTTCCTGAGTTCTTTGGGTTTTAAAACCGCTTGCCGCTTTCAACTCAGAATTAATCTTAAAAGCTTCAAGGTAGGTAGGCAGTAGAACCCCGGTAACAGTTCGAGTTCCGGGGAATGAGAGTTATCGGGGTAAATTTCAGTGAAATTGTGATCAAGGAAAAGAAAATTTAGTTCGAGTTAGCAAGGAATTCGAGTTATTCGAGTTCGAGTTATCAAGGTTCTACTGTTTTTGTGCAGTCTACTCACATGCACTCGCGGAGATGAAGCTAAGCCAGCCATTGGAGAGTATTATACATTTAGGAGCGCGTATTATTTTCCGTAGTAATTATCATTACCTGCATTGGTTGATATCCAGCTATTGATGAAATAAAAACCACCGATCCACCCCTAAACAAAACAAAAACATCAAAAATCATTTATACAAATAGGAGACAAACAACTAAACGAATGGTAATATTATTGTACCCAACTCGTGCCCAGTCCTCACTTAAGATTTGTACGAGGAGCAAAGGGAAGGTCCTTTCACTGTTCAACCACCCATCTATTTTTCTTAGACCTAAAGCAGAGCGAACGCAACAAATTACCAAGCGAAAACAAAAAAAAAGACCCGTGAGCGAATGCAAGAAAGAAAAGGCTTGTTTCTCAAAAGTCGAGTTAAACTGACGAGCCTAAAGTCTCAGTAGGATAAACATCTAAATATTAGCAGTTGGCGTTCTAGCTTCTTTGACCAGTCCATTTCGTTTTGTTATAACTATCAAAACCTCGATCTTGAGTTGAAACACTGCAAAGAGCTTTCCGAGAATTACAGGACGTTCGAGAAGCGGGTCCAAGTGGCTTAGTTTGAGATAATTATAATCTTACTTTGCTTTCTGCACGTCGCGCGTGTGCACTCCCCTCACTACATCTGGCGCCGGTTGTTCAAACGTTGGATAGCGCTATCCACCGGATAAATCACTATCCAGCGGATAAGTATCACGGAAATCAATTGCGCTATCCGCTGGATAGTGATTTATCCGGTCGATAGCGCTATCCGACGTTTGAACAACCGGGGCCAGAAAAAAAAGAGAGACTGCTTGCAGTCTACCACGCGACAGCCGCGCAGGCTATTTGGGAGCTTTAGCAACGACGATGGCGACGGCGATAATATCGTCACTATCAAAACGAATTCGCATTTTTTTAACTCTGTTGCGTTCATTCCAGCTCGCTTAAACTGTCAAATGTAGGTGAATTTTCTTGAAGTTGATTTCTTGAGGGCCGGACCCAAGTTCAGAAAGAGAGAGAAAAACTCGTCTTCGTGTTTTTACGTATTCCACAAACCGTAACATGAATCAGGAAATTTTACGTCGTGGTCGCACGGTCAGCGGAATGAAATGTACAAAAAAGTGTGCTGTACGCGCAAAATTGTTGTTAGCTTATAAAACCTTTTAGTATATTCCGGTGACGAAATAAACAAAAATAAAACTCTGCAAGTGATACTGCCCCTTTAAAATCCATTAAAATAACAACAAAACCAACAAATCTACAAACCCCCTTTTCTCCATCAAAGGAATAACATCCTTCGCCAGCAAGAAGGCAGACTTCACGTTCACATCAAAGATCTGAAAAATAACGAAAACGTAAACAGATATAGCTTGAGGTGCTGCCAGAAAACAGTTTCCAAGCTGTTACTATTAATCAGGCATCTAACACAATATTTAAAACTAAATCTGGAAGTCATATGGACAAATTACCAAACGAGCGTGTTCACTCATTTTGCTTACTAGTGTGAGCCCTTGCAGAGAGAAATGGTCGAAGAAAATTTTAGGGTAAAAACATATTATTACAGTCAAGCCTCCCGTAATTAACGGCCCATACGAAAATTTAGCGCTCGCTTGTGGGAGGTGAACGCTAAAGAGAATCGGACCACAGGGTATCTTTCTGAGTAGAGATCCGGACACATCCACCAGAGCTGTCACTAAGATTTCAAGTTACTGGGTACAGCTGTATATGCAGTAAGTAGGCGGGAAATTTAGTCTGCTACACAGCCGTTTTTAGTGTCGTCACGTAACGCTCATCCCCACAAACGGTGCGTTGCGTGTCAACACTAAAAACGGGTGTGTAGCAGACTACGGGAAATTGAACAGCTAGTCAATCATATTTTGAACTGCCGATAAAGATTTGAAAGACAGCATGATCTTAACAGTGGAATGAACAAAGGTAAGCGGTTAAAAAAGAACCTGAAAAAAAAAAATCTGGCTTGACCGGGAATCGAAGCTTTACCTTTGCGATGACCGGACGCAACGCTCTATCCATTGAGGTAACATATGATTCATTCGAAGAAGTAACAAAACAAAAAATGATTCATTCGTATATTACATCATTTACATCAGATAGCGTTGCGTCCGGTCAACGCAAAGGTTAGGGTTCGATTCCCGGTTACGCCTGAATTTTTTGAATTTCTTTTTCAACTGCGCTTAGGTTGTTCATTCCCCTGCAAAAAACATGTTCACTTAGATCATGTTCACTGTCATGAATTTCGATATGTTCTATTTTCACTTTTGTTTCCTCTCAAAGTATCATAAGTAATCATGTTTATGTCGTATCATATTTATATGTACGCTTATTTTCGTCTTTATTTGATTCGTCTGTCAGCATGTTGAATTTGGGGCCAAACTTCGTCTTAACACCGGTTTTCGTCTCCAGTATAAATTCTGTTTAAATACAAATAAGATAATTTTTTGAAAATAAATTGTACCTGTTTATTACACATTAAGGACAGACAATTTGATGTTTACTTTGCAAAAGATTACCTTATCCCATGCTTCCTCTGGAGTCTAAAATTTTACAAACAAAAGACAATGAATTGTTACATGACGATCGAAATATTGAAAGTTGAAGCAGTATGATTTGGTTGATTATTTATTTATTTGATATTTATTTTCTTTCTTTGAAACTTGCGACATGTCCCCTAAGGGACTTTGCAATTTATTGATGTAGATGTAGATGTAGACTAGCCTACGTAAAGACGTCGGATTTTTTCCCTGAGGGAGGAGAGACGTCCGTACACAGGGTAGATGTAGACGTACACATTAAAAAACGTCAATCTACATCTGTATGTACTACTAGTTATAGCTATCGCTAAGTGCCAACGAGCAAAGATTTTACGGCTTTAAGGGCCTGTTTACATGGAGGTGGGGGACCCCAGGTAGGTGAGGTAACTCGCTTAGGTGAGGTAACCAGCCGGTCCATAATAATCTCTCATTTTAATTTGATCATGTTTACATGATAGGTGGGGTGACCCACCAAGGCAGGTAGCCCGGACTACCAGACCGGGTTACCCTCTCAGGCGTGGTCAAATTTTGCCATGTAAACGTTTCAAGGTGGGGTAACCCGCCTGGCCGGGGTCGGATTCGTGATACATCAAATTCGCGCAAAATTCACTTTGGCGGTGGCTTTGCATCATTATTAAAGTTAACAACAGAAAGCCACAGCACTGAAGGTTGCAGCAAGAGCAACAAAGGAGTGTAGAAGTGCATTAATCGCCAAAACACGTGGTTTGCCAGCATTTTTCTTGTTTACGTGCTTGGCAACCACTCAATAATTTTGAGAAATTGCACCCCGGGATGGCGGAGTTGTAAGATTGCATGTAAAGGAGGGTTATTTTTTTACCCCACATAAGCAGGTTACCTCACCTACTTGTGGTTCCCCACCTCCATGTAAGCAGGCCCTAAAGACGGGTGGATTAATTCACTTTATTGCAACATACGCGTGTAGCTGTCGCATCTGCCCGCTGGAGTTTTCTATTGTTTTTAAGCCTAAAAACAATAAAAAACGCTAGCAGGCAAATGCGACAGCTACACGCGTATGTTTCAAATGAACATGGGACTCACAAACAAGCACACGGCTCATGGATTCTCTGTTGGTTCACGTGTTCGCTCGAAAACGATGCATACTCTGTTCTGAATTATGTCACCTTATACCACCTTATGTTACATCGCTTCGAGATTCATTCTGCCTTGCAACTTTCGCGCATGGCTTTATTAGGCTGTCGCCTCACAGCCCCGCAAGGCTGCTCGTTGGCAATTATTCATGAAACTAGGTTTCTCCTGGATCAGTCATGGTTACTGGAGTAGCCTGAGTTCCTAAGAATACATACAATTCAACATTACTTGGAATAAACTGCTACTTAAAAACATAAATTCCCTTTAGTTCCTGATGAATAAGGACAAGTGCTACAGTGCACCACATGAGTGAAAACGGAACAGGTTGTTTTAAAACTGACGTACAGCACTATTTTGCACTATTAAATACCTTAGATAGTAAAATTGGCTTTTGTCAGTGATACCTGCAGAAGTGGGCCAAATGTTGGATTGACGGCTGCATTTGATACCAAGATATCAATCCCACCAAAGTGTTGCAAAGTCTAAAAACAAAAATGCACAAACTACATATATCAGTAAAGATAACTATTAATTATTGAGCAAAAATTAGCTTACAATATAGTAAGCTTTCGTGCATTATAATGATTGCTAGTTTTTGTTTTTGAGGATTTTGGTGAGGTAAGAGCATTAAGCGTTATTCGAGCATTTTAGTGGAATTTTCCCGAAAAATGATTATTTTTTCAGACAAAATGAAACTTAAAGAACTTTTTAAGATAAAATACCCCCTAGTGCAGCTGTTTAGAGGATAAACTTTAGATAATCTTTATCGATCTTTAACAAAGACTCTGTATGATGGGCACTATTGAGCATTTTAGTGACTTTATTGGGGGAGACTGTGTATTTTAGTGGAAAAAAGGAGCATTAAGGTGGAGCATTTAAGTGGGGAAACAAAAGCATAACATACAAAAGTCTACCATACAGTCTCCGATGCAGCCATTACCTGTCTCTTCATGCTTTGCATGACAAGACAAAGACAGTGCCCGAAATTAATTTTTGATCATCTTTTCAGACCTAGACAAAGACAGGGTCTGAAATTAGTTTTTGACAACCACCGGACAATCATCTTTTCAGATCTAGGTGTCCAAAGAGAAAATTATCTAGTCCCCAAAAAAAGCCACGGTCAGCTGTTAGCCACCTTGACTTAAATTTTTGAAACTTTTCTTAAGTTGTGCTGTGGTTCCAAAGCTTCTGTCTCTGACTGAGTTTTCTTGTTTGCAATGACCAGAGCCTTTGAATCTCCAGCTTTTATTTCTGAATCTTTCAACCAATTGGACTGTTTATAACACTGTACCATTTCTCATGCAGAATTAAATCTCGGCCTACGACCTAATGGTGTCTTTTCACAAATGTTTATGTATTCACGAGGATGGCAATGTTGGTCAGCGGCCACTGCCTATTACTGTCATTACTATTCATTCTTGTAGTCAGCCATGTTGAATGTTCACGCACTTAGAATAAATAAAGTTCTGTTGCATGTAGAAGTATTGGCCCTAGACTGCAGCTTGAGTTACATGGGCAACCAGTCCGTGATTTGGTAATCACTACCAAGCAAGACAGATCAGCTGCCAGTCTTAAGCAGTTTAAGACCCGGATACGCAGTCTTGATTTACGTAACATTTTAGTTGGATGTAGTGGCCGCTATCTTTGCAATTTGTAATTTTAACTTTTCTTAATTATGATTTTAATTACAAGATTTTAGAATTTTGATAAGCATAAATAGAGTTTTTGTAATGTTCGTGAGTTATCATTAGTAGTTTTAATTCTAACTCTTAGTAGATTCTAGTTTCGACTCTATATTGATTTGTTTTGTATTTTTAGATTGTATTTTCGAAAATTAGGTGTCCCCTATTAGCAGTGGGGAATCCCCTCTGCTAGATTTCTGTTTGACACGCTAATAAAGTCATTATTATTATTATTACTGTTAAGTTAAGTCTGTTCATTTCTGATGACTGGACCACAAGAAATTTCAGACTGTGAAAGAACAGCTGCATGGGACACTACTATAATAAGCAGTTTAAATGTGACATTGGTGGATTTGCAAAACATGCTGACCTCTTCAATGAGATTCTTACGATGCTGAGGCTTTGCAACGTGGCACACCACACCTTTAACTTCACAACCTCGCTCCTCATTTTCCAACTCTGAAACAGCACTAGAAACCCTGTCTTGTTTCCGACTGCTAATCATGACTTTGGCACCATCTCGAACAAGCTGCCTAGCAATTCCAAATCCTATCCTGAAGTGGAAATTTAAATACTAATATTATCATGGTAATAAATAAAATTACATCTACAAAGTATCAAATATCACCTTTAGAAAAAAAGCTAGCACTCCTGGTAAACTAGCAAAATGTTTTGCCTTTGAAATTTCTGAAAATATTGTGGAAATTTTCCTTAGCTTATAAATTAGGTAGTTGGCAAACAGTAGCATCCAACATTTTCCAAGTTAAGACCTTGCTTCACTTTGCAGCCCAGCTGTACATGTGGACTTCAATTGTCTGGTACTAAGAATAAGGCGGAGGGGGTTGGGCTCTCTTTAGTTTTTCATTGAGCACGATAATGAACATCATTAGAAAGAAAATAATTTACATAAAATATGAAATTTAAGCAATAAAAATTTACTTTCCTTGCACAGCCTGATAATTAAACACAAGTTGGGGATATTGGAAGAATTCAAAACAGTTATGCAAACCTAACATGAAGTCAATGGTTTGCATACACACTGTAGCTGTCAAGAATTTTCCCATCCCTTTGACTGTTAATCATCAGGCTATGCAAAAACAGGAAAAAAGTTTTGTAGTGCTTTTAGAAAATACAACATGTTACTTTCCTGACAAGAGAACAGAAGAAAAACTCTTTGTATGCTTGAGCTGATTAAAAAGGAAATTCTTACTGCTCATGACTTAAATGTTGTACACAAAAAGTTTTTTACTTGTAATCACTTCCTGTTTAGCAAAAAAGATGTTACATGTACAAAATACAGACTTCCCCAGTTAAAATGTCAACTTAAGCGAAACAAAAACTTTGAAAGATTTGCACCCCGTGAGTCATTATATTTCATAAATTGGTGGAATGTAATCGTCTAGGTGATTGTAGTCCTGGCCCTGGTTGTTCAAACACTGGATAGCGCTATCCACTGGATAAATCAATATCCAGCGGATAAGTATGGGAAAACCAATTGCACCATCCACTGAATAGAGATTAATTTATTCAATGGATAGTGCTATCCATCTTTCGAACAACTGGGCCCTGAAGAGGACTGTTGTTAACAGTGACTGACTTTACTGAAACTACCTTGATACAACATGTTTAGTTTTTCCATGTTTCATCTTTCAAGGAAATGGATAGATAAGGTAACTTGTCAAGTTTTCAGCTCCAAAACTTTTTCAAATTTACGCTTGCATGATTAGCTTGTGCAAAGGAAAATAGCCTGGGAGCAGGCACTGTAGTGGGAGAAAAAGGCAAAAGGCAGGTTGAAACAGCAAGAAAAATCGGCAAGCAAAGAGAGGCGAGTAGTGAAGTAGGGAGGGGGAAAGGGTTAGACTCCTGCTCGACTTGCTTTGCTCGCCCATTTCATTCACCTTTTCCCCCACTTCAAAGCTTGGTCGCAGGCTAACAGAAAAACATCTTGACGCAAACACGCCTCTCAGCCAAATCGAATCGTTTAGCCTAATTTATGGGAATTACAAAGCACTCAAATGACCATAATCCTTTCGAAATATGTATACAAAAGTGTGGAATGAAAATTTATGCTTCTTTACAGGGAAAATATGTATCACTAGTGTGAATCAGTTTTAAGGTTATCATTGGTTCAATCTTCTATTTTCCTTTGTTTTTGTAAGCTTTATGAATAGAATAATAAAAATACCGTATATGCACAACAAGAGAAAACAAACTGAAATCGGCACATAATAAAGTGCCATAATATCAGGTCTATTGCGCTTTTTGCAGGCAACAAGAGAAACCCGCAGACTTTTCTTGGTCACCGGACCTTTATAAAACTGTATGGTGAGGTTATGCCAAAATCTGTCCTCATTCTTGGGATGGCCATGATGAATCAACTAATATGCATGGTATATGGCCGTGAAGGCCCTAGTGTTGAGTTTAAGGTCCACGGTAATCACGTGAATGCATACACAAGTGATGCAACAACATTTGTTTGATTGAAAACACACATAATTAAATTTAGCTATACATGTAATGTACTAAATACAAGACTTTTCAGTACACATTGCCAGCCGGAAATCTAGGGGGGAAATGAAAGTAGAGCCTGATCTCAGCTTAGTGCAGGACGAGTCTTCGGTGAGATACGAGTGATTACAAAGTCTATACATTCGTGTAACTAAGTTAATTCAGGTTACACTACAGAGTGCATGGTTTTTCTATACATTTCCATACATTTTCTATACATTTCTATACATTTCCAAGCATGTAAAGTTACTGGTCATCTAAGTTTCAATAACTTTTTTCATGATTTTCTATTACATTTCAACGACCTTTGGTCATTAAACATGGATTGAATATCCCATTAATTAAAAGGACTTCAAGTAGTCATGACATGACTGTATAAATTCCACGTTGAGTGTTGTTTATGTCACACATTACTGTTTTCATTGTACAGTGGAACCCCATTAATACGGTCATCAATGGGCAAGAAAAATTTGGCCATAATAACCAGGTGACCTGTATTAACAAGGTCGCCATAAGGTGGGGTTCCACTGTACCTTTGCCTGCGAATATAGCTGTCATCCAGCTGTCTCTCCTCGCTTCTGATGGTTAGCAAGCTAATCGTATTTAAGCCACTGTAAATAAAATCGTGGAACTCAATATGAGACTTGTTTACTGAGTTGTTCCATTCAGTTTCCACTTTCATGATCTGCCGCGATTCCTTTTGTTGACACTTAGCCTGAGTATCAGGCGTTTCCGGTGGAAAGGGGAAAGATGGAAGCGAGAAAGGGAGAGAGCTGAAGGAGAGAAACGCCTGACACAGATGCTTTTACTGGAGCCTTCCACCCCCACACAGCATGATTCAATATCATCCAATCAAAATCACTTCCGATCATTGGGTTGTCAGCTTCACATGTCAAAAAGCTCACCTAAAAATAAATCTCACCTTACGGCCAAACTCCGGTGCCTGTGTTGCTACGATTTCGCTTTTTTCTGAAACCTCCAATGACGAGTTTTTGAATACTTGTAATGAAAAACCTGCTGTTTTTGAGGAATTATAACATGTTTTAGGAATTGTGCTAGTGTAAGATCGCCAACGTTCTGTTTGTAAAAAAACGTGTGCCCGGAAAATTGTAGTCTGCTACACAGCCGTTTTTAGTGCTGTGTAGCAGACTAGGAAACTTGTAAATTTCATTTGTTTACAGAGTTAAAACAAGCACTCATTCCTGAGAGTCTAGCAGCTAAAAAGCTGGGGTGAACAGGCGGAGAATCATGCAAGGGAAAATCTCTTTTTTTTCTCTAGGTTTTGTTGGTTATCCGTCGTATTCTCGGTGGTTGAAAGGAGCTGCAAGAATAAAGAAAATTATCAAGCAGCAACAAATTCCACCACTTCATAGAGAGCTCGTGAAAGCTGTAACAAGTTAAGTTAAGAAAAAAGTGAGATCCTATAGCAAAGGTCAATCCCGTTGGCGAAATATGATAGCGCCCGCTTGAGCTTAAGGCATTACTAAAGTGAAAAAAAAATTGGAAGAGGAAGTGAACGAATTCCAATCACGTACGCTATCGTAACCGCAGTGTAGCCGGCACAAGCAAAGTCAAGCTAAAGCCTTGGTGTTGTCGGCTATTCTCAATACATAGCTACCTCGCTCTCGCTCTAATTTTATTTACAGTAACAATACCATTTTAACGGCAGGATGTTGTAAATCAGAACTTAGATATCTGAAGCACTGATATCGTCTTCTTTGTCTCTGTCTTGTGAAACCAATAATCGGACATTGTTTCGGCAGAAGCTGGTATATGAGGCTTTTCCATACTCTGAGAACATAGTCTTTTCTTTTGACTATGAGGCTTTGAAAACACAGTCATTATTCCAGGAAAGAACTTGAGAGCGAGCGCCCTCTAGAGCCTTTTTGAATTTCTCTTTACGTCTCTGTCCATAAAAGTACCACATGAAATCAAAACATCGATTAAAAATTTCAATGGCTTCTCCTTGCCGATCGCTCTGCTCGTATTTACTTGCAGTTGGTGACGTCAGGGAGTATTGTGTGTTATCCAATCACTGCCACATCCAGATTCTGGATGTGTCACACGATTTGCTGAATGGTTTTGTGTCAGGCCTTCCTTTCTCTTCTCCCCCTCCCCCCTCCCCCATCTAAAACCTGTCCTTCTTCTAGCCCCTTAGGAAGGCCTGATACTCAAGTTAGTTGACACTGGAACGACATGTAAAGGGGCTTTCTCTGATTCACGTACACTTATAAAAAAGCGGTTCTCAAAATCAATAGCACCTTTAAGGTAAACGTACATGTTCGCAAGCACTTCCTAACCTTTAGTTAAGGCTAGTGCGTAAACTCTTCTTTACTTTTAAGTTTTCTTTTCTTGCAAATATGACTACAAAGTTTTTGAGCCTGAGATTCGATTATAGATTTTATCAGTTCAATTTGTAGTTGAAATGAGCTGAAAAAATATTGCGTTACTCACCCGTCTGTTGATGCTGTAACAATTGCAACTTTCCCTTCAAGTCTTCTATTTGAAGCTGCAGTAGAACTCATTCTTGAAGACCAAATTGTCGCACAAAATCCTCTTACATTCGACCACAATCTCATGTTTCAGGCACTCTTGATGCTCTGAAAGAAACTGGAAAGAAGTGAAACTTCTTCCCAACGGGGTGGGTGAGAAGTAGGTAAGCGACCCAAATATTCCCCCTCCCCCACCCCTTGCCCAGTCCAACCGAAAAAAAAAGAGATAAATTTTGACAAATAAAAGTAAGCAAAATCACAGTTAGCATTCGTGCCAGAATACTAGTATAATACAATTTGCCAAGAGCTTTTATCGTTTTTCTTGGCCGCTAACCGAAGCTTTTTGGGCTTTGTCTTTCCTGACTCTACCCTGGAGGGTATAGAAGACTTCTCACGAAACCGCCTGGCAGAAACAAACATTTTGGCGGGTGATTGATTCTTCTGTCGAACTTTTTTTAACTTGCATCGTCACGCTCTTACATAAGCTGATGTGAACTGGACTTTGCTTTAAGTTAGGGTTTGCTGTTTTGTTTGCTTGTCTTCAGAGTATAAAGACGTAGATTTTGACGAGAGTCGAGGTAGGTCCATTTGTCCTTTTCGCCTTTCGATAAAGCTTATTATTAGTAATAGTACAAAAAGTAATATAATTATAGTTTAGAAAAACAAAACTAACCTTAAGTTCAGAATTTTCAATAAAAACTTGGATCAGGCTGGGTTTTTTCTTATTTCAATGTTTACATGCAGTTTATTCATTGAGCCTCCAGCGACTGAGTTTCGCTGGAAAAATTTCGTAAGCTTTCCAGGGTCTTTACACCTGTAATGAATCGTTACGTAACACCCCTATATGAATGCAGTGCCCTTTAAAACGTTTAAGAAATGGGCCATTTCGGTTCCATGACGCAGTACCCACCATTAGCTTTATTTTGGCCGTTTCGGCCGAGCACCAAGAGATATAACAGTACGTTATACTACAACTTCTACTACATTTAAACATGTGGTAGATAAACTAGATCAGAGCTGTTTCCACTCAGACGCTGGAAATTCCATGTTATATGTCCCAACCACATAACATAACAGTTTACGTTTTTTTAATACAGCTATCAGAAACTTTTAAGTGAGAGGTCAAGGAGAGGAAAAGTTGTTACCCCTACGTCTTACAGCCCCTCTTTCAAAATTGATGGATCTGCCCTTTAAAAATGGGCTGTAGATTGAAATTTCATCAGGGGTTAATGATATAATAATAGGGCCATTTACAGAAAATGCATTGTAAACAAGATGCAATCATCTAGGGGAGAATTAATGTATATTTATGGTACAAACAATGCAGTCTTCACATCATGTGACTTATATTGCATCAGCTAAGATACAACTCATAATAAATTGATTGTGTAATACACATCTCATGTGATGAGACGTGTCATATTTTTTCCTGTATAAATGGCTCTATATTGCAGTTCCAGAAAATTTCCATATCAACCTCTTGGAGGGTTATTAGGAGTTTTAATATGAGGGTAAGGGGAATCCTAGAGGCCAGAAATTTAAAAAGATATTTCTGAAGCTAAACATAATAAGGGGTGGGGAGCTGGTGCATGGGGTCATAGGAAAAAATAAATCATCCTGTGTGGGCTAAGTTTGGATATTTTCTGAATAAAATTAAACAGCTAATTAATAAGCTTTCATTGATGTAATATCCAAAACTCAGCTGTAAAGCTTTTCTTATTAGTAATGATAACCTCAATGATAACTATCATGCTCCATATAGTCTCCCTCTCAGCTATTTTTTAGTGTTGTCAAGCAATGCTTAATATTGTGTGAAGGCAATAAAATAGCTTGTGGGAGTCTAGACTAATAGCTGCACTAAGACTAATCTGATATAATATTCCATGGTTATGCAAAAGCAATAGATCACCAAAGTACACCATGACATCTTCAGAACTCCCTTCATTGTCCGGAAAAGTGTGCATTGTGACAGGAGCATCTCGGGGTATTGGTAAAGGTATTGCCTTAATGTTGGCCAAGTCAGGAGCCACAGTGTATATTACAGGTCAGTTAAACTTAATAGGAAATTGTCTTACAGTATGATGAATCATCTACTCCACAAACACCCAACAAACTGACGTTTTCTACATGAGCATATAATTTAAAAGTGCAAAAAATTCTACTTAATAGGAAGGACCCTTGATGCCACAGAAGGAAGGACTGGATCACTGCGGCAAACTGCTGAGGAGGTAATAACAATGTTCCACAATATTATTTTTCAGTGTCGGTGTTCCAGTTTAGGTGCGTCACAGGAACAGCATGCAAAGAAAGTTGTGTTTGATAGCCCGGGACTAGTGGATTTTGTTATCAGGCTAGTGAATTCTGTTCTCATCTTGCCCGATGGGCGAATGATTTTTTTTAGGAAATTCACATAACAGAAGAACTGTAATCAATCCCGCTCATGAAGAAATTTTTTGGGCTAATGAAATATGACTCTTGAGCTGGTACATGCTAGTTGCAGCTTGTCCAAATGGCAAGCTGTAAAACTGACTTTATTTGCACCCTGAAGGGGTCACCATTGTGCAGGTGGTGGGTGGGTGGAAGGAGGTTAGCGTAGGTAATTAGGGGTAGAATTTTGACATTGATGATGCTTCAGTGTTACTCTTGTCTCAAGTGACATGCCTAGTATTTTTGGTTCTCTGTTTTTCTTCACACTTTTGTTACCTATGAACTTAATTTAAAACATGCTACAACAATTAAAATGAAATATAAAGAATCATGAAGTGGTGTGAGGGTCCCCAATAGGGTTCTTCAGTCCTGTAATCCCGACCCAAAATTTCGTGCAATCCCATGATCCCAAGGGTCATTTTTGGCATCCCACCTCCCTCTCTTAATTTCAATCCCGAATCTCGCCCTGATTTGGCTTTAAAATCCCAAATCCCGAGCTTCAAATAGGGAAAATCCCAGGTACCGAAAAACCTATTGGGGACCCTCTGGTGTCACCGCGTGTGAAGTCCCGGAGGTGGAGTCTTATTACAATTGCTAATACAAAAGCAGATGTCAACTGAAACAAAAAATTGCACCTTAAAATGCTTAAAGTGGCACTATTCGACTTTACGATTAATGACTAACAGCTGCAGTATTGATTGGGAACAGGGCATTTGCCCTCTTTTTTCGTCCTCACCGTAGGGAATTTGTCATCCAAGGCAAAAAAAAAACGTTGATGCCCGGGGGTTAGCCTGGGGGGGGACATGGGCACAGCGGGAATTGACTGATACATTAATATCGAAAATGGTTGTAGAATTATCAAAGGAATACTCGTAAAGTTGTTTTTTGAAAGAATCGTAGATGTGTGACGTAAATGAAGTGGTAAGGTATTCCAGGTAATGTCTTTTTTGGTTTGAGACGACTTGATTGGCTCTGCCACAGGCTGCCCAATGATGATGGTAAAGTGTTCGGTGACTCAGAAGAAAAATGTTACACACAACGTAACCGCGTCAGGCAGGTCGTTTATAATAAAGAGGATGTTCTGAACTGTAGTTTCTCCTAAACGTTAACGTTCGGTACGGATAAATACGCGGTACAAATGAAATAAATAAATAAATAAAGTGTCTTTATTGTTCAAAAGATAAAATTACATATCTTATGTTACATTTAAATATAACAATGTTAATGGGCAAAAGTATGTCTCTAAATAAGATTAGTATATACATAGAAACAAATGCAAAAATCGAATACAGAAAGTGCACTATTTACAAAGCTACATTATACTTACAGACAATTCTATTAAAGAATGTATTCTTAAAACGGTCCGTGTAAATGGCGGGCATTGCGGGAGATTTATTCCTTAAGTTTTTTCACTATCTTGTAATCTTAGTCTCAGGGAAGTTAGCTCTAAGAGGGTGGTTCGGGATACTAGAAACCTTCCTACAAATTCTATGATCTTGCACTTAAAGTAATTCACCTATCTCTAGTTTCTTGGATATGTATCTGCGTTTAAAACATCGATCTAAAAACTGCTGGGCCATAGCTAGCTCTGATTCAGAGGCGCCATACACAGATAAAGCATAAGTAATATTAGGTAGAACTATGGAAGAGAATAAATGGTCTACTTCTGCTTGGCTACATCCTTCTTTTCGGAGGCACCTGATGACATACAAGCATTTATTAGCTTTACATAACTTTTCTTTAAGGTGAGTGCTAAATTTGCAGTTCGGCTGAAATGTGAGACCTAGAATTTAACGTTGTTAAAGCTTTAGTATTCTGTACTCGACGGTATTACCTTATCTCTTGCGTGACACAAGCGTTGCGATGTTACGAAACGATCTCCCACCACTGACTCAAATTTGGGATCAAAATACAAAGGATTTTGAATAACTGTTTTACATTAAACCACGAGTCACGTTTTTCACGCTAACCGAGAGTGTTCTCAGTAGAGGACAAATAGGAATGGTACTAAGAGAGTCCCTTGAAGGATTCCAGATGTTACGTCCACCCATGAATAGAATGAACTACCAACGAAAACACTTTGGGATCGTGACTTTTGTAGTCAGACAACCAGTAGTCCACGAGTGTCAAATAGTATTAATTTACGTTGAAGCTGGTAGTGAGGCCAGGCAGAATCGAACGGTAAGAAATCTAATGAAACAGCGATTTTAAAATATTGTTGTTGTTGTTCTTTTTTGTTTGACTTTTTAGATAGGACAAGAGAGTAGCGGACAGTGTATACCAGTGCAGTGTGACCATGGAAACGATGAAGAAGTCCAAAAGTTGTTCGATAAAGTCGGCAAAGAACAAAATGGACGGTTGGATATCCTTGTGAACAATGCTTTCAAAGGAGTGAAGGTATAGTCTGTATTAAGCAACAGTAGCTGCAACAAATAACAGATGTAAAGCTACAGTCGAATCTCTCTTAAATAGCATTCTTGTGTTGTGATCGTAATTTCCCAGAAATCATCAGTGGTTTTTTAAGAGAAAGCACTCAAACTGAGTTATTTGGAACACTTCGAAACCCGGCGTCTCCTGAAATCTTGGAACGACGCCTTACAGATTTGACCGGGACCTTTACGAAAAATCCTGATACTCTAAGGACAAAATTCTCGCGCCAT